TTTCCTCATTCCCCGAATTTATACTGCTTGCCTCCAAGGTTACTAAGAAGATGCCATATGCACTGTTGTCACTGTCTGAAATTTCTGCATGGAGCAATATGGAATTGCTGGCATTTGGTCATTTCCATCTATAAAAATGGCAAGTTGGCAGAGCTTGTCTAAACTTCCTACTTATGTAGATCTTTATTTTTTCTCTTTTCACACAATAGAAGTTAAGCTCTTATTCTGTACATTAGTCTCAATGTCTAAACAGTAATTAGCCATAGTATGAGCTCAGTAAATATTTGCTGAATGAATGAAGTGCTGGAACACAGTCAGCATTCCATACTACTGTCATTGTCATCTTCATTATTGGCAATCAGACTCAAGAACATAGGTGAAATGCCAGATAATATTGTGCATGTGAGAATTAATGCCTCATCCCCAATTGTTTGTCAATAACTGGTTTGTTGCATCAAACCAACCTTTCTAGTTAGGAAAAATTAATACCCTGGATTAAGTTGATTGAAATCGATAATTTATATCAATTGCTACCAGGTATTATGTCAGTAATTAATAATTGATATTTTCTTATACAGAAATTTATAAAGCATGAATGAGGTTCATGATAATAAGTCTATCTGCCTCCTTGAACACCTACCATGTGCCAGGAACAGCACTGGTACCTGGCAGGTCTACATTTCTAAGTCTTCCAACAAGCCTGCAAGTGGTATTTCTATGCTACTCCCTGGATGAGGTGCTGGCTCTAAAGGTCCCAGTGGTGGACATAATGTGTCTCTAAGTGGCAGTGTTGGGCTATTCCCCAGAGTCCCTGTCCTTCCCTGTGAGATAAGGACACCAGCGATCCCATGTCTCTAACAGGCTCTGCTCAGAGCAGTTGGGAGCCTGCTGTTCCAGACCAGACTAGGGCAGCTGCCAGAAAATCAATCAAAAAGCCCCACTTGGACAGACAGAGGAGCCCAGAACTGTGTCATTGCATAGGTTTAGCCAGCCCTGTCAGCCAGCAGCCTGGCTACTCTGGACAGGACCTCTGTCCGTGAAACCATACTTCCTCAAGTACTCACATCTGGCCTCCACCTCCCTGAGGGCAGCTTCTCTAGCTTTCTTGGCTGCCTCAGGGTGGTCATGAAGAGCAGAACTGGCCTTCACTGGTGAGGGGGAGCAGTGGGTGGGCAGATACCCCAGCATTTCTATCTTGTATACATATGGGATGTGGCCCACAGGGAACTTTCTCAGAAGGGCCCATTGACTGTGCTCACTTCCTGCTTGCTGGGGCTCTTGAGGCAGCCTCCCTGATCACCTCCTAAGCCTATGTGGGGTGGGATCCAAGTTGAGGCACATACACACAAAGGTCTGACCAAGGAAAGGCCTCCTGGGTCCCTACCCTCCTCAATGGCTGAGTCAGACTTTCCATGGTAATCGAATGCTTAGGCTCACAGATGAAAACCATTTAGTAGCAGGTATTACAAGGAAAAGCAACTGAACATAAAAGGAGAAGACAGTAACCCTGGAGGAGGCGGAGCCCTAAGGTCCCTGTGCCCAAAGTTCTCCTGGTGTCCTAATGGCAGCAGGGCTTAGGCAACACTTCCCCAAGTGCAGACTACCCCTGTGGCAACTTTGGGAGCTGGCACAGGCCTCTCACCCGGGCTTGCATCAGAACTTCTGCCCCGAGTAGACTGGCAGAGCCCTTGTGAGGCCTGCAAAGGGCCTTCCAGGTATGGTTCTGCCCACTTTCCAGACACTCCGAGAGTCTAGCTGGCTCTGCTCAGGCTTACGTGATTCCTCCTCCAGGAAGTCTCCCTAGACTCACCCAGGCTTGGGAGAGCCCAGATCCCTGTTTCTAAACAGTGTTCTGCAATGAATGCCAGTGGTATCTTACCGTGTGGCTCTGGGCCCCTTGGGACCTGTAATCCCCACACCCCAGCATTTGGCACAGGCTTATGTGAGATACCAAAGAAAGAGACAGGCGGGTACAAGATTATTCCAGCTGGAGTACCAGGATACATATGCATGCAGGAGAGTTTCCAAAAAGAACATGAAATAGAAAACACTAACTCCCCCTGCTAAGTCGTGCCCCTCTGGAGGTCTGTGAGGGGCTCGGGCTCCAAACACATTGAGAAGAAGCACATTTACAAGGAGCCCATGAGGTGAAACGCAAAGCCATCTATTCTCAGGGGTGGGTCTGAGTGTGGGGCCAGAACACTCTTTTTCCACATTGGCTCAACCAGCTTCAAGGAAGCTATGAAAATAGACTCATTCCTTTTGAGGTAAGAACTGTTTATTTTGCAGTGAAAAAGGAAGTCTAGAAATAGCATAATCAAATAGCCTACTTGTAAAGATCAGATCTTCCAATAGGGGCCTTCTGAGAAGCCTAGTAGCAACATTTGGCTGTCTTTTCCACATTGTCCACCCACCGGGTGTGAAAGTGTGTGTCCTACTAGGCCTTAGTGATGTGTTCCCGAGGCCAGGCTCTGCAGAATTACTTGTTTCCGCTGTTTACAGAGTAAGGACATTGCCCTCCCCCAGGTAACTCTAACCCTAAAGTAATCCCTTCACAAACACAAGGAAGACATGGCAAACTCTTGCCCACTTAGTAGAGCTCATGCCACCCACTGTTCAAGAGAAAGAACCCCAAAACTTAAGCAAAAGATATTCAGACTTACTCTGTCGGGTACTCCCATCACCGAAGTGGGTGAGTGTCCCAGGGCATTGCCTGGACGTACCAGGTTGCTGAGGTCCCCCAGGCCTGCCCAGCTGCCTCTCATGCTCTACTCCACTCCCAGCCAGTGCATGCCCAGTGGGCGCAGGGCCTCTGTGAACAGCCCCCACCTTGCATCAGTAATCGTGGCCTTTCTTAAAAGGGCACAGTGTCCACGCGACTCAGAGGGCAGCGGGGTGGCAGCAGGTGCTGCAGGGTGCACACAGCCAGTAGAAGGAGGGTGCATGAGCAGTCTTGGGAAGGCTGCAGACATGAGTGGGACTGGAGAGGGCTGGAGGATGGCACGGCGAAAGATTTTACCTCGGAGTCCTGTTCTCTGTGAGCATGTATAGCATGCTAGGTCCCAGGAGTTGAGCTTCCCAGGCGAAATCTTGGAAGATGAGCGAGGGTGGACAGAGAGGCCCCGCCACGCTGAGGTCTGGCCAGAAGGGTCCTTCTTCTGGGGAGGGTGAAACAGGCCGCACACCCAGCAGAGTGGATGGGACCCCCCTGGCCCTGTCTGGGATTCACTGGACAGGCACAGGTCACAGCCACTTCTCTTTCCTATGCCAGAGCTTCCTCGCTATTTGCTTAATTCAAAGCCCCACACTACAGCCTCTTGGGGCTCTCAGACCAACACTTCATGGCCACATCCCTGCTTTATCTCAGGTCCCCCACAGGAAACAGCAGTCAGAGGCAATGCCAAGCTCACAGCCTGCGGATTCTGTGTGATTTGGGGTCCCTCTGTGCCCCTGCCTCAGGACAGTCACCCTGCAAACTTCCCCACCACTAAACCAGTGAGGAAAGTCACCTAAGTCCCAGTCCACAGGAAACACCTTCCCTAAAATGCAGATGTGTCACTCCACGGGTTTTTGGGGGGGGTTGTTTTGTTGTTGCTGCTGTTTATTTTTTGTTCTGTTTTGGTTTCTGGTCCTGCAAATTGAACCCAGGCCCTCCAGCGTGCTGAGCAAGCTCAACACTGAGCTGCATCTCCAGCCTACTCTGTTCTGAGACAAGGGCGTATTAAGTTGCCCTGTGGCTGGCCTACAGCTTTTGATCTTCCTGCCTCAGCCTCCTGAGTCACTGGAATCACAGGTGCCCACCACCACATCTGGACCTTTTACAGGCTTTGAGTCTGGCTGTGCCTGGAGACTTTTCAGAATGTATCCCTTTTGGAGCAGAATCCCGCTGTTCGTGTCTGCAATGAGCACCTTTGTATGCAGAGACCATCCACTCCAAGGCTGTGCTGGGGGGTATGGGCCTAAGTGCAGGTTCAGCAGGGGACTTTGGGTACATTAAAATAAAGGAAGCATAAAACTTAAAATGGATTGGATTGTTCACTCTCTACTGTTTGAAAATGCAACAGGGGCTGGGCTCAAACTTGCAGTCCTCCTGCCTTAGCCATCACAGTGCTGGGATTGTAGGCATTGGTCAGTAAACCTGGCTAAACATCAACTCTGGATCATGAACTTCAGTGAGGAAGAAGAGGTGCTACCATGGTACTTAAAATAGCCTTGAGGTGTGTACATTACTGATCAGCTAATTACCGCAAATAATTTTCTTCTAAATTTCAGTCTTTAGACTTCAGCTTGCTCACTCAAAGATAAACAAGACGGTACTTTGAAGTAAACAAGAAGCGTTTTCTGAGGTCATGATTTCGATGAAGCAAGTCCATAGGTGCCAAAGCTACATAAGCTCCTCAGCCACAAAAGTGTAACTATTTCCTAGACTCGGTCCTACTTTCCTTAGTAAGAGGGCTTGAGATTGGTATTATTTTAATGGCCTGAACTCTACTACAAACTGTACCAAGCTTTGAAATTGCACAGAAACAGTGCTTAAATACTAGCCCTAAAAAGTTTAAAATCTAGTTGATGGTGGAAAATGTATATAAAATATTCAAAATTCTGACACCTTAAATGGACATACTTTCTAAATGACCTACTCCCATGAATATTTCTACTTCTCTGTGTTTACTGTGGGAAATCCTCTGTAGAAACTGATTTTCTTTATGAAAAAGAACACAGTTCATTTAATTTTTGAAATAATCAATCTAACATTAGAGTTTTTTCTGTAAATGAAACAAGCATACTCGATTGCTCTATATGTCTGCAGCTGAACTATAAAAAGTAAAGTGTCCTTCACCATGCCCGCTGAGTGATAAGTGTCACAAATCTGGATGAACATGCCAATGTTTCCAAACACAGTGAGTCCTGATTCACATCACCCACCTCCAACACCTGAAGGTGGAAATATCTAAGCTGTGAGCCTCTGAGATCAGGAGTCTTCTTCCAAGAGGACTTACCTGGTGATTTGTGTCCTTGTACTGAAGTCGAGAGACCTCATTGAGCGCAGGACTTCAATGCACCCCAAGTACTGCAAGGGGAAGAAACACAGATCGTGGTGAACCTGAGAGCTGAGATGAGACAGCTCCTGACTATAACAAGGGCATTTAGGGAGAATCACATTTTAAGTTTAAATTTTATAGCGCTACTTTGTTCTGTTTCTATTAAAGCAATAACTTACATCCATAAGTAAACAAAAATGTCGTATATAGGAACCTAATAAGCTCAAAAAATGTAAACATTATATGTCATAAACATGAGATAAGATTAATAATATCAACAAGAATGAAAATGGGGAAAGGGGATTTACTGGGGGAAGAAGGGAGGGGAAGGGGACTAAAAGAATCAAGCTGCATTATATACATGTACCCAGTCCTAAAGGTAATTGTAAACTACATGTATGGCAAACAGATACTAATAATAAAACAGTAAAAAGAAGAAAATAACAGTGCTTAGACTGGCACCACACTTAACTTTTCTAAAACCTCAATATTGTCATTTTATTTAGTTGTACATTTTTCAAAGCTTTTATTAAGGTATATTTTATACAGCAGAAATCTTAAACATTTAATTCAAATGTTATTTAAATAGATATTGATACTGACACCATAACTCCAATTCCAACATCATATTTCTAGTTCTTTACAAAACTTCCAGAGGTTTATCAATGTCTAAAGAATAGAAACACTCCATGACTAACATTAAACATGATTACTTAATAAATATATTTTGGGGTCTTTAAATAAACTATAGATAACTTTGGTTTACCAAAAAGCCCTCTTCTGCATTATTTACCATAAGTTTTCAGGAGTTTAAGTTTATGCATCTCAGTGTATAGCCAAATTTTGATCAGCTTCACACATGAAAGTGAATATGTGAATGTATGCTTGTAACTACAGTTAGGGATAATGAACTAGATACAGTATTACATTTAAAATTAGATTTAGTGAACAAGTTTAAATTTAGATTTAGTGAACCAACCCCATGGGATGGCACAGAAATGATTGCATTTCAGTTGCACACTACTGCACCACCACCAGTATCCCAGAGTTATTTGAACACCACCATGAGGATTCCATGGCCAATGCCACAGAGGGGTCGGACTCACACTACCACTGAGCCTGCAGTTATATAACTGTAACAATCACACAGCCAGTTCCTGTGAATAAACAGGGTCAATAGTACAGTTATGTGACAATCACCACCATCAAAATCACAGAATTATGCATATACCACATCCATGTTGCAGAGTTGTGTAAAACCCATGACAAAGTTAAATGATTACCACAGTTGAGCACATGGGGCTATGGGAATGCAACACACACTAATGTCCTAGAATTACTACCACCACAGTCATTGTAGAGTGATATTAATGCCATGACCAATATCACACAATTGTGAGACTACCACAAAAAAACAATGCTGCTGAATCACATGAACATTACCACCTGCCAATGTGGAATTGCGTAAATATCATGACAATGTCAGAGAGTTATGTGGAAACTATAAGCAATATCACAAGGTTAGGCAGACACCATCACCACTGTTACTAGTTATATGAATAACTTCCCCACCATGAGTTTGTATTTACATGAATGGCACAACCAAAATCTGTGTTACGCAAATACCACACCAGCATTGCAATGTCATATGGAAACCACACCAGTGTCACAGAAATATATGAAAACTATCCCACCATAAATGCACATTTATGTGAATAACCACCCAAATCACAATGTTTTAAGAATACAACTGCTAGCAATATTACAGATTTATGTGAATAGAATACCATTAATAACTTATAACTTCTGAGATGTATGTGAATATCACAACCACTGTTATGGGTCATGAGAATACCACCATCAGTATTACAGAGCTGTGTGGACACCCTTAACACCATGGTAGGAGTACATGAGCATTACTACCACTATCGCTAAGATAAGTGAAAACAATGCCCAACATTGTCCAGGATTGTCATCTGTCACCATCACAGAATTATGTGACTTCGTCACTGTGCTATCATTAAGAGAGCACACCACTGACGCAGTTATTCTAATTCAGCTATCAACAACATTGAGATATATGTTAATACCATGACCAGAACCACAGTTATGCAAACATTACTGTTGCAGTTTTGTTAATTCCACAACTGTCAATATAGCAAAGTTCTGCAAGTATTTTGACCAAGTTACAAATTTATACAAATACCACCACCACTACCTTGCAATATTAATGTCATGCTACTAGCCTTACAGAGTTATAGAAATACCATGACCAAGTTGCAGAGCGTCTAAAAAATAGCATCATCACCATCACAACATGCATGAATAGCACCACAAAGGTTCCACAATCATGCTGATTCTATGAGAAAATATAGTAGTGCCATGTGAATAAATGGTGAATTTCACAGAATATGCAAATTAACCTCCACCAATGTTGTAGGGTTGTGTAACTATGTGACTATGGTCACATGGCTAATTCAGAGTCACATCTAACATTCTTGTGGCCTTAACTCAATATCATGAAGAATCTCACAGAGTTAAGTGAATAACATCAATAGCACTGTACAGTATATTAAAGCAACCACCATAGCTACAAAGTAACGTGTATACTAATAACACCAGTGCCTCAGAGTTACGTACATACCATGACTGATGACTCCAAGTTATTTCAATACCATCTCCATCACTCTCACAGTTATGTGTATACCACGAATAATGTCATTGAATTATATGACTACTGCCAACAACATTATAGTGTCATGTAAATACCCATGCCAACGTCACAGATTTATATAAATACAACAGCTACTGTCATAGTTATGGGAATACAGCCACCACTACACAATTAGCTGTGACCAGTCTCAGAGTTATAGGAACACCACCATAAGCATCACAGAAATATTTAAGTATCACTACCAATGTAATAGTGTAGGGTAAATAGCACAATCATTGTCACAGTTGTGACTATCACCAGCAAAACTATCGCAGACTCATGTACCACTGACCACAAAATTATAGAATTATGCATGTCTACTGTCACAGAAGTATGTGAATACCAGCAGCTTGTGTGAAGGATCAAATGAACAATAACAAAGTCACCATGTTATGTGACTAATGCCACTACATTGCACAATTGTGTCAATCCCACATGGGTGTTCCAGAGTTATGTGGGTACCATAAAAAACTACAGAGGATGTCACAGGCATCATGGTGTTATGTGAATACAACCAACATCATAGAATCATGTGAACACCACTGCCACCAACATTGTAAACTCACATGAATACAACTGTCACCACTGTTACAAAGTATATGGACATGATGGACAACAGAGTTATGTGGATACCACATCCTCCAGTGTCACCATCTAAAAATTATGTGAATTCTTCCACCAGTGTCACAAGGTAATTGTTATCATTTGGATCTGAAATGTTCCCCACAGGCTCATGTGTTGAAAGCTTGGTCCACGAAGCAGCAATGTTCAAAGATGGAACAATTGGAAGGGGACTGGGTTATGAAGGATTAATCCATTGATGGATTTATAATTTGATGATATTATTGGGAAATGGTGGAAATTTTAGGAGACAGGGCTTGGTTGGAGCCAGTAAGTCACTGGGGGTGTATCCTGCAAGAGTATATCTTGCTCCAGCCTCTTCCTCTCTCTTTCTTGAGTCCTGGCTGGCATGATATGAGCAGCTTTCCTCCACCAACCCTTCCACCATGATGTTTCTGCCTTGGAGCCAGTCAACGACAGACAGAAACCTGTAAAACTGTGAGCCAAAATAAACCTCTCTTCCTTTAAGTTTATTTTTTCACGTATTTTGTCACAGCAACAGAAAGCTAATGCAGTGATCTGAATACCACTATCAATATTGTAAGATTATTTGGATATCATATATGTAACACAATTATATAACAACTACCAACACCATAGCATTTTTTTTACCACAAGCCTCAACACAAAATTATGTGAATATCACTATTATCATCATAGCATTACATGAACATTACCACCAATTTTGTGAAGTTATGTGTGCAACAACCACAGCATTATCTGAATTCCATCACTAACACTCCAGAGTTGTATGGTGGCTGTTCCCACCACCATGACAGATTTATATGAGTTCCACTCACACCAGTTGTTTTAGCCCATTTCCTATTGCTCTAATAAAGTGCCTGGGGCTGAATAACTTGTAAAGAAGAGACATAGTTATGAAGGCCAGAAGCTCTATTGGTTTAGCCTTTTGTAAAGGCTCCCTTGGGTAGATCAACACATGGTAGATGGCATCACTGTGGGAACATGTATGAAAGACAGAGTTCATGATCTGAGGCCAAATTCCAAATGACCTAATAACCTCCCACTAGGCCTCAACTCCTAAAGGTCCCTCCATCTCAACATATCAAACTGAGGACCAGGCTTCCAGCACATGAACACTTGGGAGACACACTCACACTAGCACCAGCATCACAGAGCTCTGGGAGAACTGTGTACAATGCAGTAGGATTATGCAAATAGCAACCAGCATTTCAGAGTGATGTTAATATGACCATAATCAGCACTGCAGAGCTGTGGGCTTGTGTCCTGTGCCTCTTTCCCAAGGTTGTGTTAAGTCACAATCAGTGTTGCAGATTTAATCTGAGTACCATGAACACTGTGGAGTTACATGGTTACCACCACTACAGTCCCAGAATTATGGAAATCATACCACCACTACTTTTACAGCATTACGTACACACCAGGACTAACTTTTCAGAGTTACACAATTACCACCAACACATTTGCACAGTGTGTGAATACCACCATCATCTCAGGGGTGAATTACCCTTTCAAAGATGTGTAGCAATTTGGCCTCTCAACCTCCGTACTGTACATGCAAGAGTTGCCGTCTTCAACCTTCACAACACCGTACACCAATCTTCATATTAATGGATACAGAAGACCATAAAAACTGCACACATTAATTGGGTAACATGTAATGTTTCAATACATATACACTGTGTAATGTTTAAATCAGGTTAGGCATATCTT